CAAAACAATTTTTTACTAACTCTATCACTTGAAATGTCAATAAACACCGAGGTGTTCTTGAGGTAGTTCCTACGCAAAGATCGTATTGTACCCCAAAACAGTTTCCAAACTTTTCCACTTCAATTCACACCTCTGATTTTTTTTTTTTTTTTTCATTTTTCACAGTATACCTGAGATGAAGACAAGCAATGAGAGCCATTGATAAAAACTGGTGTTGAAGGATAAGGAACTATTTGTGGAAATGTAAGAAGATAATACCTCAGGAAAGAGTACACAAAGACACCATAATTTAGTGAAATTAGAAGAGAATAGTATTAGAAACAAAACTCAGCAAAATAATTTTGCTCTGTGACAGGGCTTATATTAGAAGTTAAAAACTGTACATGCTCTAGGCAAGCCCCAAGTTAGATTCTAATATAGGAGGGGCATAAAATGAGAAAGAAACAAATGTCAGTTTTAGTGGTAGATTAGCTAGGAAATACTGGCCTAAAACTACTTTTAAATTCTAATTTTTTGAATTAACATATCCTTTAGAGTTATCATCACTGTGAAATATGAAAGTCATAAAAAACGATCAATATATTTTGCTCAGATTTATTCTAGGGGTAAAGAAGTCCATAATTTTAAAATATTAACTGATCCTGCTAACACTTTCTAATAAGTCACTTTTTTTCCTCATCTTCATTATATAATATGAAGTCACTTTAAAAACTATGTCATACCATCAGTCTCCACAAAAAACAGAACTCTACTTTGACTTGAATTGTGAGCTCAAGTCTTTTAAGTCACATACACATAAATATTACACAATAACAATATAATTTACCACTTCTCTCCTTTCCTTTCAATATCACTTTTCCTCAAAATATGTTCCTGTGCAAGTTTTCTCTCTGTGTGAACTGTCGCCTTCTTTATTGCTGCACCCAAATCTAAAAATGAAGAAAAATCAAATACTCATCCAGAGGTTATCAAGGAAGACTACTGGTCATGATCAAAGTGCAAAGTATATGTCTGATTTGTGGGTCCAAACAAAAAAAACAAACAAACAAACCCGTTGCCGTCGAGTCAATTCCTACTCATAGCGACCCTATAGGACATAGCAGAGCTGCCCCGTAGGGCCTTCGAAGGAGTGGCTGGTGGATTCGAACTACTGACCTTTTAGTTAACAGCTGAGCTCTTAACCACTGCCCCACCAGGGCTCCATTTGGGGGTCAGTATGAAAATATTTGCATTAAAAACCACATTAGGCTTTCTTTAGGCAGACTAGACATTTTGCATTGCTATGTGCCAAAAATCTAATCCTGCAGTAGAAAACAAAAGGTAATTCACTTTCTCACATCACCACAATGACATGCCAATCATGTCATAAGAGAACACAATGATGTCTAAAATAAAATAGTACTGTAATATGATATATTAAAATAGAAAAAGGGAGTAGAGATAGTCAACTGCAAAGAGCTACTCAAAAATGAAATCTATGAAAAACACATACAGAAGGATCTATACCCCTCCAGAGTGATCTGGATACAGAATATTCAGTTTACACTATAGTTTATATTCATTCAAACTGGTGAGGGAAGATTGCTCTGAAGAAAGGGGGAAGGGAGGGCAGGGCAGTGATAAGCTTAGCCAGTCTTACTATAATTGTTTTAATAGCTCTTCCTATTTATATTTAAAGGCAAGAAAAACTGAAAGTGTTTAACAGTTACAGTAACACATAAGCACCAATTTCAAAAATTTTTATAGGTGCTAAACGGGCTACCCACTGGCACAGTACACTATGCATCATGCATGACAGACCCATGTAAAAAAAGGCTTACAATACTATTACTATACTATATCCATGGGGTCCTGGTGGCACAGTGGTCAAGCGTTTGGCTGCTAACTAAAAGGTCGGCAGTTCGAATCCACCAGCGGCTCCTTGGAAACCCATGGGGCAGTTCTACTCTGCCCTATAGGGTCGCTATCAGGGGGGATCGACTGGACGGCAACGGGTATACTATATCCATGCTACCACAAAAAAAAGAAAAAGGCTTAAGTCTTCACTGTAGTAATATCCTTATTAAGTATTATCAACATACTTCACATAGTAATTTAAGCTCAAACAAGTTATTTACAAATGGAAAAATAAGGCTAAAGTCAATCAATGGTGGGTTTGAAAATGTTAGTCCTGATTTCTTGGTATTGTGCTTTACACCTATGTTTCTCAAAGTAAAAAACTGTATCTGGGGAGGATAATAATTAACAAAGACATCCAAAAAACCAGTCATTGAAAACCTCATGGAGCACTGTTCTATTCTGACACACATGGGGTTGCTATGAGTCAGAATGGACTCAATGGCAACTGGGTTTTGTTGTTGTTTTAACATTTACTGAGCACCATACCACATACTGTGATGAATTCTTTGCATAGATTGTCTCATTTAATCGTTAATAATCTTAAAAGTTAGGGACTATAACTATCCCTATTTTAAATGAAAATGCATAGACTAAATAATTTACCCAAGAAGTGGCAGAGGTTACAGCTAACCCAGAGCATAAAACCAAGGTAACTAGAAAAGGGAAGTGGTTGAGGGAGATCACAAAAACATTAACTTCCAATGTAGAAAGGCATATTTTTACTGGTGACATATATTTCCTGCTTATACCATGGAATGGTTTTCAACCCCTGCTCACATTAGAACCACCTGTGGGATTTTTTTTTTTTAAATAGCAATGCCTGGGCCCCTGTCAGCTATTTGGCCTTCAGTTGGCCTGAGCTGCACACAGGCAGGACTTACAACGTATTTGAGTTTCAACAAACTGCACTTACAGACCGTCTGTTGTTTTTTGGTACATCTTATCATCAGTAATATGTACTACATGCAATGTTGCAGCATATTAATTTGCTGATGTTATCATTCTCAAATTTTCACTCGCAGGTGTTCAAAGATCAGATTTATAAAGATAAACCAAACCCACTGCCATCAAGTCGATTGTGACTCATAGTGACCCTACAGGACAGCGTAGAACTGCCCCGTAGGGTTTCTGAGGCTAACGTCTTTACAGAAGCAGACTAACACATCTTTCTTCCGCAGAGCAGCTGCTGGGTTTGAATTGCCGACCCTTCGGTTAGCAGACCAATATTAACCACTGTGCCACCAGGGCTGCTCATTTATAAAAATACTGATAACAAAATGCAATAATAATGAAAACTAAAAAAAAAGAGATATTTGACTTACATCAGAACCAATTTACAACAGAGTTGTCAGAACAGAACCCTGTCTTAAGTTGGGGACTACCTATACAATCCAATTTACTGATCACTTATTTGGTTCTGAGCGCTTCACCCATTATATATCCCAGTTACCCATCAAAGTATTCAGCTTTTCTTTACCTTCAATAAAGGAAACAGTACAACTATAGCTGTACCTTTTTAAATAACAAAATGTTGCCAGATTTTCTTTGACATGAGTAATGTATAGGAGGAGGGGAAAGAGTAGACAGCATGAAAAAGTCTGAAAATTCCCTTTAAGCACCCATATACTTCTCAGGTTTAAAACAATGTAAAACGGTCAGAAGAGTCAAACTAAAAATTAAACGTCAGGTTATGAGACTAAAAAAGTTGTTATATATGTTAACGAAAGGCTTAATATCCATATTTGATTACATGTATAATATTCAGCTGGTAATGAGAGTTAAAACACCTAGTAACTGTTATTGTGGTGATAAATGCCATTGTCTTGTCATGGTGCTGTGATAGCAATTATGCAGCGTTTCAGCCTGGTAAGTCACTTGAATATAAACTAACAGGTGCTAAAGAAATCAAAGCATTACATAAGCATACCCAAACAACAATATGACTAGTCATATTGTGTACTGAAAAATGCAAGGATTTTGCTGACAGTCTTATATGAGAAGTCTTACTGTTTCACTAAAAGTTATACACAGCACATCCCACTCACCCTATACCAAAAATATAATGATACTGCTCCAGATAGTCTCAGACTTGCTGGCTCTTGTATTTTACTAAAAAGGTGAAGCATGTATGAAAGTTTGATCTATGATCTGAACAAGAAACCTAAAAGGAAAAAGAGTATAAGTACTTCAAGTTGCACAAAACTCTGGACTTCTCAAAGAAACATACAAAACTTCCTGCTTCCGGACAGCTCATTATTTGGTGCAAGTCTTCACATTCCGTTGTTAGTCATGACCCTTCAGAAAGCTTTCATTCCCTATTGTTTGAATAATATTTTACAATGTTGCTAGGCAGATTTACAAAAAAACTTATCAAATGAAGAAGCCATCCTAGGGTTCATGCCACAAGGCGGGACTTAGATTACAAAGAACCCTCAGTGACCTGAGCAGAGTGTGTCCATCAGGTAGATTTTTTTTTTAAAAAATTAATTGTAAACACTGTATCTTTCTGCACATTTTATATGTTCGTTACATATCGTATCATAAACAATTACAGGAACTTGGCATTAGCTCCTCAGAAACTAACTCTGAAAGAAACTGGGAAGACCTGGGAGTATGCGTGAAAAACACAAACGGGAGTGAACCTTCTTCCTGATTGTCACTGGGGTTTCTATGGCCCAGATCTGGCCTCCGGAACCATATGTCACTAGGTGCAAAGGCAGAGAAGGAGAGATCCACAGGGTAACTGGATGAGAAAACAAGGAAGATACACCTCAGAAATACGTGTACTTCCACACCGAAGCTGCAGGGTAGCCGCACAGCAGACCCTAAAGAAAAACCTTCGCTATGGGATCCGTCACATTGCCCAGGCCTGTGGGGCCTGCTAAAAGGGGTGTGTGGGGCAAGGAAGGGCAGTGTCCGTCCCCACTTGGGAGACTTAAGCAAATGAAAATAAAGCAAGTTCTCACTTCCTGGTCGCCTTCTCTTCCGAAGGCCTCTGACAGAGGCGGACCCTGGGGTGGAAAGGGGCTCCTGAGGTGTAAGTGGGGCCCACCCTAGCCCTGCACCTCCCGTCTTCGCCCTCACCCTCCTCCGGGCCTTACACGGTGACGTGACCGGAGCCGCGGACCACCACCGGGTCCGGCGAGTACTTCAGCAGCTGCTCCTCCAGGGCCCGCTCCTCGTCCTCCTCCTCCTCATAAATCTCGTCGAAATCCGCCATCCTGAGCCTCCGAGACCCCTGCCCAAAAGGGCCTGACTCCAGGAGCTGGGGCGGGGACCGGACCGGCGAGGCGTCGGAGGTTGAGCGGAGTTGCTGTCGCCGGCTCAGAGGCCGCTGAGTTCGCTCTAGGCTGTCTCTCGGCTCGGGCTACAGAGGAGATGGGGTCCGGGCCGTCGCCGCCGCCATTACCATCAGCAATAACAACAACACAATGTCAACATCCGCCCGCCCAGGGGCCGACACTCCCACCAGCACCACCACCGCCGCAACAGCAGCAGCAGCAACTCAGGCAACCACAGTAACAGCCCGAGCCACCCGCAGCGGGAGCAGCCGGCTACGACATCGCGAGACTTCCCGGGAGTGCGGGCGAGCGCGTGGGCGACTGAGCTGGCGGGCGGGCGGGCGCGCGCTGGTGGCAGCCCCGCGCGCTCCCAGGGTGCCTTCCTTCCTCCACTCCCACCGCGGACTACGCCTCGAGCGCGCGCCCCCGCTGGCGCGGCCCCGCCCTCCAGCCCCGGGAAGGGGGAGACTCCGTGGACTGGAAGCGATGACCTGTCTCCCAGAACAGAGTGCGGAGTTTCCAGTGGAGCATACAGTTCCCCAAAGTAATCTCTAACCAAAACAAACAACGAAAAATAAAAGTCCTGGTTGGAATTGGAGAATTTATTGCTCATATGATAGCCAGTTTACCTAAAAATCGAATCTCACTTTTCATCAGATGTTTTAGTCCGCCTCTGTGAGCCAGGTTCTGTATTTTCCCAGTCTGAAGAGCCGAACAGACACACCGCAAGCATTTTTGTCCACTTTACTACAAGATTTTCCAAAACATATCCAAATTCGTATACCTTGCCCCATTACCCGCTTAAATGTAGCCCAATTTGTGAGGCCAACAGTTGTGAAATTCTCTTTCAAGACAGATCACCATAGTCGTGCCATGAAACAAAATTGATAAATTCTCTAGATTCCAGATCTGAAGACGCAGTTTCTTGCTCCAACTCTCCCCCCACCCATAATCCATTAAAGAATTCCTTTCAACTCCCTCCACTCCCACCCTGTCCCCCACAAAAATAAAAAGGATTGAATTCGGTTTACCTGCCTAGACCACTGATAAAGGCATGAGGGTCATCTTGGGTACTTGGTTTCATAGTCAAGAACTTGCCCAGGCAGACAAATACTACAGGGGCAGGAAGGGATTCCTGAGAGTCCTGTATAGTGACAATATACTGTGGGGAGAGGAAAGAATAGTCCCACTCCGCCTGGAATATTCTCCAAGTACTATGTTCACATTAGAGCAGTTCACTTAAGATGCACCATTTGTTGAAGTGGAGATTGTGCAAAGGAGAGCAATGAGGACAGTTAGATATGACATCTCCTATTGAGAATGGTTGAAGGAAATAAGCAGTCAGCCAAGAAAAAGAAAAACACAGTAGGTGTACCAGACTTGTATCCCTCCCCAAAACACATTTGTTCATTTATTAATTCAACAAATTTTACAGAGGTCCAACTATGTAGCAGGCAATGTGCAAGTGTGTGAGTGTGTGTATGAAGGAAGTCCCAGGCTTCCAGGAGTTTATTTATCTTTAAGGCAAGCAATTATAATTCTCTACCGAGTGTTCCTAGAGGAGTATACCCTTTGCAGTCTAGTTGATTCTGACTCCTAGAGGAGTATACAGAGGGTGCTACCGGTGCATACAGGAAGCAGCTTAGTCTAGTGGTTAACAATGTGCTCTGGAACCTGACTGCTTGGCTTTGCATTGCAGCTCTGCCACTTACAATGTGACTCTGAGCAAGTCATTTAACTTCTCTCTTCCTCATGTGTAAAGTGAAGATAATAATAGTACCTACACGTCATGGATTGAATTGTGTTCCCCCAAAATATGTGTCAACTTGGCTAGGCCACAATTCCCAGTATTGTGTAGTTTGTGATCTGTGTCCTATGTGTTGTAAATCCTAATCTCTGCCTGTAAATGAGACAAGATTAGATTTTGTTAAAGAGGGTTAGGGTGGGATGCAACACCCTTACTCAAGTCACAGCCCTGATCTGATATAAGGGAAGTTTCCCTGGGGTGTGGCCTGCATTGCCTTTTATTTTACAAAAGATAAAAGGAGAGAGAAGTGGGGGAGGGGGTACCTACTACCACTAAGAAAGAAGAGCCAGGAGCAAAGTGCATCATTTGGACATGGGGTCCTTGTGCTGAGAACCTCCTAGACCCAGTGGAAGACTGATGAGGACGTTCCCCCACAGTGAGCAGAGAGACAAATCCTTCCCCTAGAGCCAGCACCCTGATTTTGGACTTCTAGCCTCCTAAACTGTGAGAGAATAAATTTCTGTTTGTTAAAGCCATCCACTTGTGATATTTCTGGTATAGCAGCACTTGATAACTAAGACATTAAATCACAGGGTTGCTCTGAAGATTAAATGTGTTGCTGCCCAGTCAATTCTAACTCAAGGTGACCCCATAAGTTACAGAGTAGAGCTGTTTCATAGGGTATTTTGACTGTAATCTTTACAGCTCAGAAGACAGGCCAGGGAGATCTGCTTCCAAAAAGTGACAGCCTTGAAAACTCTATGGAGCACAGTTTTCTCTGACATACATGGTGTCTCCATGAGTTGGAATTGACTCAATGGCAATCAATAACAACAATCTTCACAGAAGCGGATCACCATGCCTTTCTTCCATGGCACTGCCATGTGGATTCGAACCACCAACCTTTAGGTTACCAGCAAGTCACAAACCACTTGTGCTACCCAGGGACTTGCTGTGAAGATTAAATATCTTTATACATGTGAAGTGCTTAGAACAGTGCCTGGCACACAGGTGACATTGGACAATCTCCAACGCCCCATCCAGAGTGGTCCCAGACTCTAGGAGGATCACTGCAATTTTTGTATTTGTGTAGTGCTTTACAGTTGTTGATGCACATACGTAATAAAACATGTAATATTCCCCAAGAACTCTATGAGGTAAGCAAGGAGGATGTCATTTATTACTTAGTTTCAGAGATGCTATGTGACTTACCCATGGCCACACGACTTTTTTTTTTTTTAGGACAATCATGTTAATTTAATGAATTTGAAAAATTATGTTTTCACAAGTATGTTGTCACAGGGGAAGTCATTTTCCAAGCCTGATACCAAGCATTTTAAAGACTACATTTTATAAAATTATTAATTATGACTGATATTTATTTTTATTTATTATTTTTAATAATTTTTGTTGTTACACAGCAAAAACATACACCAATTCTAGTTTCTACATGTACATTTCAGTGACATTGATTACATTCTTCGACCACATGATCATTTAATGATCAAACTCAGGGCTTCAACTCCAGTGCACTGGGTAGGCCAAGCTCATGAATTTCCTCCTTGGCAGGAACCAGGAGGCAGTGACTGCACTCAGTAGGAGGAGCAGCTGCAAATGGGAGGGTAAGAAAAAAGAACAAGAGGAAGGAAGGTCAGCATGTTCCTAGCGCAGCCCACATCCCTTGTGCTGTGGCTGTGAATTCACCTTTCTGTAGAGAGAGTGGCCAAGATAAGAGGCTGGTGCCCCATAGTATCTGAGTCGTCATATAGCTGAACAACTCAAGGGCAGAGGAAGTCACGCACAGCTGCTTAAATCTCCAGCACCTTCCACAGTTGCTGCTTCAGAAGAACACAATAAATGTTACCGAAATTGAGATATATTATTACTAATGCTATTTCCAGAATATCATGAGTTAATTAGGCTTCAGAGAACTGTATGAACCTCACCCTTATCTTAACACTGGTACTATGTGGGAGAAATGTTCTTCTTTTTAGATCTATTCAACAGAGAGATCTTTGTAACTCCCACTGCCTGGTTGTAAGGTGGGGGCCGCCTTATTTTTGCTCTTCCTATTTTGCTCTTCTCTTTCCTGCTTTGAAAAAACCTGTCAGAGCCAGTAAAAGGGTGTGGGACCTGGGAACAAGGCCGAGAGGGTGAGGAAAGATGAGTCAAACATTTCCCTGATGATAGTTGACATCAGAACCCCAAGCCCCACCTCCAGCCTTCCAGAATCCAGTTTCCTGTCAAACTCCTTTCCCAATCACTTGTGAGATAAACCACACTTTTTCAGTATCTTTTCCCTCTGTCAGGTGCTCTCCTGCTCCCTGCTAAGGGCCCATCTCTGCATGGACTCCTCTCCTTTTCAGTTCCCTTTTATTCTCCTGCCTCACACACTTTCACGTTTACCTCCAGACCAAATGGCTCAAAAACAAACAGGATAAAAAGAACCAAAAAAAAAAAAAAAAAAAAAAAAAAAAAAAAAAACCAGCTGACGTCCAGTCAACTCCAACTCACAACAACCCCGTGTGTGTCAGGGTAGAACTGTGCTGCATAGGGTTTTCAATAGCTGATCTTTCAGAAGTAGATCCCAGTCCTTTCTTCTAGGTGGACTCGATCAACCACGCTTTCAGTTAACAGCCAAGTGTATTAGCCATTTGTGCCACCAAGAGACTCCAAAAAGAAGAAAGGCAAGTACCAAAAAAAAAAAAAATCCAAATAAACCAACAGGATAATGTCTTAGAGGCCTCATGAGGCAACAAATCTTCAGTTGTTTTTAAGGCAAATATTCCTAGATATGAAACCATCCAAGTTTTGCCACTGCTTAGCTGAGTGATCTTGGGCAACTTTCTTAGCCTCCTTTTCTTATCCTAAAATAGAGCCTAGGTCATGGGATAGTTATTAAGGATCATATGGGATAATGCATGTAAACTCTCATTCATTCACTCATTCATTCATTCATTAAACAAATACGCATGAAATGATTCCTAAGGGCCACACACTGCCGGGCAGTGCTAAAGCACTAAATCAGTAAACTAGATACACTGTCCTGCCTTCATTGAGCCTAAAGGTCATTGGAGAAGACTGACAGATAATTATAAAGTAATCAATTAAATACAATTGAGATCAGTCCTATGAAGAAGTATAGGTAACCATGAGAGTAGTTAACAGACCTAACTCAATCTGAGTAATCAGGAATTATTCTCTGGGGAAATGACATTTAAGCCAATGAGCTAAGCAAAGGTCTGGGGGTGGGGAAGTAGAGAGACAAGAGGAGGAGCAAGTTTCCAGCAGTGGGAACAGCATGTTTAAAGACCCTGGCACAGAAAAGAGCATGGTCCAAATGAGGTACAAACCAAGGTCATAGTGGCTGGACCATAGTGAAGAAGGCAGAGCCAAACTTGAGATGGGGGCAGAGAGGTAGGAAGAAAGTTGAAGGCCTTGATATGGTGTCTGCAGTTCATCAATCTAAACTGAGGATTTGAAGCAAGACAGTGACATTATCAGTTACACATTTTAAAATCCCCAAATTGTAGACTAGTGGTCCAGCCTACCTGACATGCATGGCCCCTTTCTTCTGAAAACAGCACACA